CCCTTGTTCTCATAGTAACTATTGATTCCTGATGTACTGGGGGTTTTTTTGTCAAGCAGAAGGATACAACTCTAGGGTTGTGAAGAAAATCTATGAGTTTGTTTTGCAGGAGTGAATGCCCTTGAGAAAGTTGCGACTAGGTCCTGCTGCCCAGAAGTCTGCTTAATCAAGGTATCATCAGAGAATAAAAGCAACGCAGACAACCCCCACCCCTGCTGCCTTATTTTCTAGCTGCTTAAAAGCTGTCTGCTTCGATTCCCTAGGAAGATGGATTTGAGAGATTTTGATCTCCTATCTTTTTTCTTTGGCCAAATAGAATAAACCCTTCTCTGTCTCCAAGCACTGGTGTCACAGTGTTTAGCATTAGCTGTGCATCAGGTACACAGCCTGAATTTGGGAGTGTACAACAGTATGACTTCTTCATGTCATCCTCAGTAACCCATGCTGCTCTCCTTGTTTGTTCTGGCGTCTTAGCATGTGGCTTACATTCTCTGGGTCATCTCAGAGTCCCAGGTAGTTCCTGGAACTCCAGGCATCACATTTCTCTTTCAGACAGGAAGTAAGAGGAAGGGGGAGGAGCTTTCAGGAAGTTTCACCCAATGACTTTCATTAATATGTCATTGACATCTTACGTGGAATATACATATGGAGGTTGAGAAATGATTTTTAGCTGAACACAATGTTGCCCCAATAATATAAAATGTCTGTTAGCTCAATAAAAGAAGACAAATAACCCCAATTTAAAAATAAACAAAGGATCTGAATAGACCAGTTCTCCAAAGAAGATATACAAATGGTCAATAAGCACATAAAAAGATCCTCAGGCCAGATGCAGTGGCTCACCCCTGTAATCCCAGCACTTTGGGAGGCTGAGGCGGGAGGATTGCTTGAGGCCAGGAGTTCAAGATCAGCCTGAGCAACATAGTGAGACCCCCATTTCTACAAAAAATAAAAAAATGAGCAGGGCATGGTGGCGCATGCCTGTAGTCCCAGCTGCTTGGGAGGCTGAGGCAGGAGGATTGCTTGGGCCCAGGTGCTTGAGGTTGCAGTGAGCTATGATGGTGGCACTCTAGCCTGGGTGAAGAGTGAGACCCTGTCTCAAAAAAAAAAAGAAAAGAAAAAAGGGCCAGGCACAGTGGCTCATGCCTCTAATCCTAGCACCATATGAGACCGAGGAGGCAGGAGGATCAATCACTTCAGGTCAGGAGTTTGAGGCTGAAGTAAGCTATGATGACACCACTGCACTCCGGCCTGGGCAACAGAGCAAGACCCTATCTCTAATAAAAAGAAAAAAAAAAGATGTTCAACATCTTTAGCCATCAGGGAAATGCAAATCAAAACCACAGTGATATACCACTTCATACCTAACTAGGATGGCTATAATCAAAAAGATAATAACCAGTGTTGGAGAGGATATGGAGAAATAGGAACTCTCAAACACTGCTGTTGGAAACGTAAATGGTACAGCTGCTTTGGAAAACTGTGTGGTAGTTCCTCAAAAGTTTAAATATGGAGTTATCATATGATCCACCAATTCTACTCCTGGATATATAACCAAGAGAAATGAAAACATATGGCCACACAAAAACTTGTACCTGAATGTTCACAGCAGCTTTATTCATAATAGCCAAAAAATGGAAACAAGCCAAATGTCCATCAACTAATGAATAAATAAGGTATGGTATGTCTATACAATAGAATATTGCTCAGCAATAAAAAGAGATGAAATACTGATGATACATGCTACAAAACCTTGAAAACATTATACTCAGTGAAAGAAGCCAGTAACAAAAGAATATAGTCCATTTATATCAAATGTACACAATAGGCAAATCTATAGAGACAGAAAGTAGAGTAGTGGCTGCCTAGCGCTGAGGTGTGTGGGGGATTGAGAGGTGATGGCTAAGAGGTTCACAGTTTCTTTTTGTCTTAATAAAAACGTCTGATGGTGCTGAACCAGAGCTGTGGTTGCACAACTCTGATTGCACTAAAAACCATTGAACTATACATTTTGAATGGGTTGAATTATAAAATGTGTATGTGAATTGTATGTTAATAAAGCTGTTCAAAAATAGTTGTTGGCTGGGTGCAGTGGCTCATGGCTGTAATCACTGCTACTCTGGAGGCTGTGGTGAGAATGTTGCTTGAGGCCAGGAGTTGGACACCCGCCTAGGCAACATAGTGTGACCTCCTCTCTAAAAAAAGAAAAAGAACAAAACAAAAAAACCCTCACAATTGTTAGGAGGAAGAAGGAAGAATAAGAATGAATACTAGGTAGGCAACTGACAGTTTCTGTCACAGAATCATAATCCAGATCATAAAGAGTGCCTACAAGTTAATTTTAAAAATCAATGTCTTAAAACAATCACATTGTATCCCATAAATATATACAGTTATGACTTGTCAATCAAAAAATCAATAATAAAAAAATTAAGCTGAGCATGGTGACTCATGCCCATAATCCAGCATTTTGGGAGGCCAAGGCAAGAGGATCGCTTGAGACCAAGAGTACAAGACTAGCCTGGGCAACATTGAGTGACCCTGTCTCTACAAAAAGTAAGAAAAATTAGCTGGATGTGGTGGTGGGTACCTGTAGTCCCAGCTACTCGGAGGCTGAGGTGGGAGGGTTGCTTAAGCCAGGATTTGGAGGCTACAGTGAGCTATGATCCTGCCACCGCACTCCAGCTAGAGTGACACAGTGAGACCCTGTCTCTAAAAAATAATCCAGTTGATAAACAGTATTCATAATGTCATTTCTGTTTTTTAAAAAATTTTTATCTTTATTAATAAATGAGAGTGGGGCTGAGAGGGTTCATGGACTTCTATGTTCCTCTCTATATACTTCTCTATTATTTGCATTTTATTTTTAAATTAAATATTACTTTTCTGAGTCCACTTGCTCAAGGTTTCTTGAGTGTGGCTCCGTGCAAAAAAAAAAGAAAGAAAAAAAATATTACTTTTCTAATTGAAGGAGATTCTATGTAGACCAGCCATGGGGGAGGTGGGGGAAGGATATCGAGGATGTCGTGGAGTATCTGGCTCTCATTACACAGTGTAGATTCAGCCCTTGACAACTAAATACACAATAAAACCTTCAATGGCTCCCCACAGCTTTCAGGATAAAGTCCAGATTCCTCAGTGTGATCACCTCTGTTTACTGCTTCTACCTCATCCCCCCATCCCCATCCCCCACTGCACCTACTGTTCCAGCCAGCAGAACCACCTGCTTTCCTCCTTGCACAGGCTTTGAGCTCTTTCTTTTCCAGGCCTTACCACGGGTGCTGCCTTTGTCTGGAATCTCTGCCCTGAATATATGATATTAGGTATATACATGTACTATAAAATTATCCTCCGGCACTGCGTAAAAGCTTTATAAGTGTCGGATGTCATTATTATACCATCTGTACACATTACTTGTGTACTTAACCCTGTCACTGGACTGTACACCCATTGAAGATAGGAACTGAGCTTTGCTGTCCCTGAATGCCCAGCATTTAGAGCCTGGCGTAGAGTAAGCACTTAACAAAATGTTAAATGACACCTTCCTAATTCTTACATCACATCTTTTCCTCCCACCTAATGTGTCTTCCTCTTTCTTCTTGGCCCAGGAAAATCACATCTTTTCCCTTTGACTACATCAAACCATGTGGATTTTTCCTTCTCCACATTCCAACAATACAGTAACTTTCATTTGCATAGCACTTCTGACTCTGCAGAGTGTTTTCATATTTACGCTTTCTTTTTCCTCACAACCACCCCAGTGCTGAGGAAACTGAGGCAGGGGTGGGGAGGGGCAGAATAACATTTACTGAGGGTAAACTAAATGTAAGGCAATTTACCCACATTATCTCTTTTAATCCTCTAACCACGCTTTGTGGCGAACATTTTTATCCCCATTTCATAAATGTGGAAATGAAACATAGGTAAAATTATATAACCTACAGAAGAACACAACAGCTATTAAGTAGTAGAGCTGGGCTTTGAACCTGGTGTCTGACTTTAAAGCCCCGGTTAGTTCCATGATACCAAATGAACAGATTTGTCTGTTAGCTATATTCCTCTGAGCTGGACAAGGTAGGACTTAATATTTCCTGATTTCCAGCTCACCAGATCTTTCATCGGACCGCTGTTATCTAAAGTCTGCAATGCACAACAACAGTTAATTACATGATATACCTCGTTACCTAGTTGTTTATTTACGTTAGCTTCCACAAGATTGGTAACGTCCCCGTTTACCGAGGCAGGAATTGTGTCACAAATATTCACTTCCTTGAGTCTTAGTTTCCTCTTCTTTCAAATATCTATCTCATAGGATTGTTGTGGAGATTAAATACCCTTCATAAAGACATTTGACACAATGTCTGGCACAAACGCTCCAGAAATATTTGCTGCATATCAATCTCTCTCTTTTTCATCTCCTTCAACACTGAATGCCTGGGTTTGGCTGTGTCTGTTCTTGTTGATCCTTGATACAACAACGTTGCATCAGGAGTATTTTAGTGGGCAGATGTTGGATTTTTCCTCCCTTCCTATTCCCTAAAAGGTTTGCTCAAACCGGTCCAGGGTAACTCATGCTGGATCCCTGTCAGTTGGTATATTAAAGCTCATCTTACAGATGAGAAAGGGTAGTCTTAGGTAAAGTGCTAGTAAACTGCGGATCTGCCAAGACTCTAACCCAGGTTTAAGATACCTGGGCTTCTCACTAGGATGTTGTCTCAGAAATTAAAAAAAACAAAGAAAGAAAAGAAAAGAAAGAAAAAACCTGGGTAGGCTCCTTCCCTCCACCAAGCTATTATACCTTCCAAAGGTCTACCTGAAAACAACTAATGGGCAGGGCCTATAACCGCAGGAACAAGACTCTTATCTTTGTCTTTCTTTCTTTTCCTTGCTCCCCCCGCCCCCCTTTTGCTTCTGGGGATGGGTTTCTCGCTAATTCTCGCCACTTTTGCACTGACGACGTCCGGACCCTTTAAGGTCTGGCAGGCGAGCAGGCCAGCCCCGCCTCCCTCCCGCTCTCTCTTCGCAGTCCGGCCCCCTGTTTTACGTCCTCCGCCAATCATCGCCCAGAAGCTCTTTCCGCGCCTCATCCGGGTTCCTGGGTTCGGGACGGTGGCCTCGTAACCAGGCAACTACTAATCCACCTCCTCTGGGGCGGATTGGCGGATCAGTTAGTTAGTCCCGGCTCTCCTCTAAACGGCAGGCGGCTGCAGTAGCCAAGGGCCCCGCCCCCGTTGCCATAGCAGCAGTACACAATCCTTCCCCTTTGCCCCACTTACAAAATAACCCTTCTCTCTCAGGACCAAGACCCTCTCCAGAACTGCTTCTAGTTAAGCAGAACCAGGATCCGCGTCCCGTTGCGAAGGGGGTTTGGGTGGGAGGGTTGGAAACTGCGCGTCAGGCTGTTGTTGCAGAGGGTCCAGAGAAATGGGGACCAGTGAGAGTTAGAAGAAATGAGTGGAGCAGGGGTTAGGGATGGAAGGAGGAGGGGAGGGGAGGAAGAGGAATTGGTAGGGCAGATTGGAGAAGGTGGCCTTAGCGGGAGGTGGGAAGAACCGGAGAGAGGCAAGCCCAGGAAGCAGAGAGACTGGGCTACTGGAGGAGAGTTGGGAAGGACAGGGAAGGTTGGGGCTGTGGGAAGGCACCCCAAAGGGAGAGGGTCCTGGGTGGAAAGTACGAAGTGGAGGTTGGGAGTCTAAATGAGATGTTCATGGGGACGAGGGAAGAAGCCTAGTTGGGAGGTCAGGGGTTGTGTGGGTGATGGGAGGGGCACCTGTCACTGGAGGCGAAGGAGCTGCGAGCTGGTGGGAGCTGAGGAGACCTTCTTTCTCAGGGTGAGGACCGAGCTTGATCTTCGGGCAGGAAGAAAGATGTCAGATGAAGATGATCTGGATGACTTTGAGCCAGACCAGGATGATCTTGAAAAAGAAGATGATGAGAAGGATACAGAGGATTGGGAGGACAACAGGAAAGAGGGGGAAGAATACTCTGAGGAAGTGAGCGCTGGGAAAGGAGGGGTCCCCGGGCTGAGGGACAGGGCTGGCCAGAAGGGGCTGCCTTACTCCACTTCCTCCTGCAGCGGATGCCCACCCCGCTTACGGAGGACATGATGAAGGAAGCGCTTTCTTTGCTCTGTAAGACCGGCAACGGACTGGCTCACGCCTATGTGAAGCTGGAGGTTAAAGAGAGGTGCGTTTATGGGAGACCGATGAGGACTGTGAGACTCTAGGGCCCCATCTCCTTTCCCACCCTCATTCCTGGGCATTTTGGCTGAGAGTTTGGATCTCTCTTATCCTAGATAGAATTTATTTTCCAGGAGCTCTAAGACTCCCCATGTCAGAGCTGACCTGGGGAATTGGAGACTGAGAGTATTGGGGGGATTCTTAGTGGACTCTTTCTCTTGTCCTTCAGAGTGTGGGTTCTCTGCCCTTCACAGACACAGGGCCTCTGCCTACTGTTAATGTCCCACCTATCTTCTCTTCCTCTTCCTCATCTCTCCCAACTGTTACCCATTCTTCTCCCCATTATAAGCCGTCTCTGTATCACCTTTTGCTTTAGCGCCTCTGCCAGTCCTTGGGTTCTTAGCCCTAATCCTGGTTCTCCCTCCCTCTACCATCTCTAGGGACTTGACAGACATCTCCTTGCTGCGTTCCTACATCCATCTGCGCTATGTGGATGTTTCTGAGAACCACCTGACAGACCTGTCGCCACTCAATCACCTCACCCACCTGCTCTGGCTCAAGGCTGATGGCAATCGGCTGCGGAGTGCCCGGTTGAATGAACTGCCCTACCTGCAGATTGCCAGTTTTGCCTATAACCAGATCACTGACACTGAGGGCATCTCTCATCCTCGCCTGGGAAGCCTAGATCTCAAAGGTGGGTCCTTAGGGCCAGGTGCACTGGCTCACGCCTGTAATCCTAGCACTCTGGAAGGCCGAGGCAGGAGGATCACTCAAGGTCAGGAGTGTGAGGTTAGCCTGAGCAAGAGCGAGATCCCCGTCTCTACAAAAAGTAGAAAAATTAGCCAGATGTGGTGGCATGTTCCTCTAGTCCTAGCTACTTGGGAGGCTGAGGCAGGAGGATCACTTGAGCCCAGGAGTTTGAGGTTGCGGTGAGCTATCATGATGCCACTGCACTCCAGCCTGGGTGACAGAGCGAGACACTGTCTGGAAAAAAAAAAAAAAGGTAGGTCATTAGGATGGCTACACAAGATTCTTTTCTTGCTAGCCTGGGGCCGACAGAAGTGGGCAGTATGGTCCTTGGCTATGGCACACAGCAATCTCAGTCATTATGATTCATTTTGACATTCATTATGACAGTTCTATGTGCTGGAGATATAACAATGACCACAAAGTAAATGCCTATTCTCTTGTAGTTTACATTCTAGTTGGGGGAGACATACAATTAACAACGAACACAGTACGTAAATAAATTTATATAGTATGTTAAAAGGAGGTAAGTGCTATGAAAAAATAGAACAGGGTAAGGGGAACAGAGGTGGCAATTTCAAACAGATTGGTTAGGACAAGCATCATGGAGATGACATTTGAGGAAAGACTTGCAAGAGGAGAGGGAGTTAGTTAGAAATGTAGATTGCTTTGGCACTCTTTGTTCACTCCTCAAAGGCTTAGGGAGGCATGTCCATGAGGTCCTTGGACTAGCAGACCACTTGCTCCAGGGCCCTGGAGGTGTTAAGTTTGGAGCTGTCCTTCTTTACTATCTACCCTGCATTGGAGGGAGAGGATGATTCAGAGGTTCTCAAAAGTCAGGCTCAAATACTGAACATCTGAATTGGCCCTTTGAGCTCCTGCCACCCCCTCTTCCTCTCCAGGGAACCACATCCGCCTTGTGACAGATCTCGACCCCCAAAAGTTGATCAGTCTGCACACACTGGAGCTTCGGGGGAACCAGCTGGAAAGCACCCTGGGAATCAACCTCCCTAAGCTGAAGAATCTCTACCTGGTAGCTCACTGGGTCATAGGGTGGTGCAGGGAAGAGAGCACTGTCCTGGGTGTAAGAATGCCTGGTTTCTAGTAGGCTTAGCTACCAACTTCGTCACCATAATGACAACTGGTATCATTTATTGGATCCTTACTTGGTGCCACATGCTGTGGAGATGCAAAGTTAAAACAGACACAGTGCTTACCACCTAGCAGGGCTGATAATACACAGTGTGTAGATAATACAGAGATAATTCACTTAGATACAAGTAGCAGCAAAATATGCCATAATTGAGGTACAGACATCAAGCTAAGGAGACCACAGAAATACTTAGTTTTTAGATGTTTATTTGACCCTTATTATTCTAGGATGGTGCTGATGGCACTTCTCAGTGGAGGAGGGGGCTCCTGAGACCTGGGGGTGGGTTGAAGCATCTTCTCCTTCACCTGAGGTGGCTTTGGTAGGATGAGTAGTAGGAGGTCACTGTTGACCTTTCTCCGGGATGGCAGCTTCTCCTGGACTTCTTTACTCTCTATACCCATCTCTACCTACTCCCATTCCCCTTCCCCACCCCTCTCTCTCTACCTCTTGGATTTCCTTCTTTGCTTTATTTCTTTCTGACTTCTCTTCCTTCCCTATCCCTGATCTCCTCTCTCAATTAATCTACTGTATCCTGGGGTCCAGGCCCAGAACTTGCTGAAGAAAGTGGAAGGCTTGGAGAACCTAAGCAATCTCACCACTTTGCATCTTCGAGACAACCAGATTGAAACTCTGAGTGGCTTCTCCGGGGAAATGAAATCACTGCAGTACCTCAACCTGAGGTATGCACCCCCGCCAAGCCCCATCTTGCCCCTACTCCTGACCAGGAGCAGCTTTTGAGCCTGTGTTCCTCTCTGGCCCCATCCTCCAGTCCTTGCCCACAGCCAGGTCCTCACTCCTGCTTTCCCTACTTTCTTCTGCATTTAGTCCTAATAGCAATACTAGGACCCCTGAATCCTTACTTATTCAATCCACAATTATTGAGAATGTGCTATGTGCCAGGCCTTGTGCTGTGTTTGGGGAACACTGAAAGGAATCCGAGGGGTAGTCCCCATTCTTCAGGGGCTCACAGTCTGGCTCTGGCTCTTTTCCAGGCCCTAGCCTGTCTAAGTTTCCACTGCCCTTTTCTATCCCTAGGCCCCAATGCCCTTTCTCATTTCCTGCCTCTTTTCTCCCAAGCCCCACCTATAAGGGACAGCCCTCTTACTAATATAAAACATAAGATGTACTCAGATTTAGGGAGAGAAGGGTTTTTGTAAGAAAATCTCCAAGTAAGGCCAGGTTCGGTGGTTCATGCCTGTAATCCTAGTGACTCAGGAGGCTGAGGTGGGAGGAATGCTTGAGGCCAGGAGTTTGAGGCTGCAGTGAGCTATGATTGCACCACTGCACTCTATCCTGGGAGACAGAGTGAGACCCCATCTCTTAAAAAAAAGAAAGAAAGAAAGAAAGAAAAACAAACAGACAATCTCCAGGTAGAAAGGCACAGGGGGTCAGCAACTCTTGTTTGATGGAGGATTTTATGTGTGTTTCTTTAAGCTAAGATGTAAGGAAACTGCCACCTTCCCTAGTCAACAAGACCAAATCCTTGAGCTGGCAGTGGAAAGAGAATCTCTAAGTAGGCAGAGGTGGTTGCACCTTGAAGCCCCAACTCTCATCCAGAGCCCCGGGGCAATCTCTTGTGAATGAGCTCTGTTGCCTGGCGTTGATCTAGGGGGATGTGTGTATATACCATTACCTGGCGAAGGTCTAGACAGGGATAATGCAGCCTTCCCAGTGGCTATGAACTGGCGATGTTTGGAAGTAAGTAGGGTGTGTGTGTGGCGGGGGGCGGGTGTCGTTTGACTGTCTGGGAGGTACCTCTGGGGCCAGAGATGCTAAACATCCTGCAATGCACAGGACAGTCTGGTACAAAATGCCTGTAGCTCGTAGCTCTCCAGGTGAGAAACACTGCGCAAGGCTTGGCATGTCCATTGAGATCAGGCTGAAACATTAAATATGATTTCATAAAGGCTTGAAGACAAGTTAGCTGAGTGTGGTTGGCACATGCCTGCAGTCCTAGTTACTGCACTCCACTCTACCCTGGGCAACAGATCGTCTCTTAAAAAAAAAAAAAGAAGAAGAAAGGCTTGAAGAGAAGAACATGAAAATAATGAAAATAAATACAGAGTATCATACAATAAGGCCTATTAGGAGATGACAATTGTCCTTTAGGCTGGGGGGCCCCAACCTATCCCTAGCTCTAGATTCTTTGTGGTGGGAAGTTCCAACATAGCATCCAGGACCTGAACCTGTGCTAAGATCCCACTTCCTTCTCCACTGACCTAGGTCCTACTTTCTAACCTTTGACACGGAAAAAGTCTGTCCCTTCAAGGGAGATTTGTCCCTTCCCCCCAACTACAGGACAGGGTTATGGCCTAGCTTTGCTGCTCCAAAAGGATAAACATTACAGAGTAGAATATGTCACTTAGGGATTCCTTGAAAAGCGGCAGCAGGACAGGGGAGGGGCTGGACAGCACCTCTACAGCAAATCTGGCAATGCTCGGCAGGCCGGTCCTCACAGTCAGCGTTTCTAGGGAATCTGGAACCCCATGGAAGAGTCCCCCAGAGGCCCCATTCCTAGAAGCTGGCAACCAAAGCCCATTATTCCTGGGTGAACCCTTGTTGACTGCGCCGGTAGGGGCAACATGGTGACTGACCTGGGGGAGCTGGCCAAGCTTCGGGACCTGCCCAAGCTGCGAGCCTTGGTGCTGTTGGACAACCCGTGCACAGATGAGACTGACTACCGCCAGGAGGCCCTGGTGCAGATGGCACACCTTGAACGCCTGGACAAGGACTTCTATGAGGAGGAGGAGCGGGCTGAGGCCAATGAGATCCGTCAGAGGCTGAAGGAGGACCAGGAGCAGGAGGCTGATCCTGAGCATGACACGGAATCAGACCAGCCATCCAGCCATTGACGTCGCAGCAGTTCTTCTAGCCTCCAAAGATAGTAAGGAAGCCAGCAGGGAGGCAGTAAGAGGAGGCCAAGGGCTGGGCAGGGCAGGGAAGGGGCAAGAGGGCAAGTTGCTGCAGAAGCAGGTGAGTGAGGAAGGGATGAGGAAAGAAGAACCCTTGGAAAGACCAGGGTTAGGAGTCAGGGGGTCTCAGCATGAGGAGAAAGGACCAGAAGAGGGGCCTGGGAAGAGGTGAGAAAAAGCTTAGGAGATATGTTAGGAGGCCAGAAGAGTAAGTGAAGAGAATTGGGGTGGCAGGCAGAGGGGTTGGTGGGGGGTGGACACAGAGTGAAATCTGCTAGGAAAGGACATGTCTGGTGCGTGGTGGGGGCTGTGGGGGACGGATGTGGTTGGCGATGTATGAGGAATGCAGCTGGGCCTAGCAGAGAAGGCAGAAGAGGAAGATCCTGCACTAAAAATCTGAAGCTAAAAATAACAGGACACAGGGTGGGGGGAATAAAGGAGGGCAGGGTGAGGCAGAATTCTAGACACTGAGATGAGTGTGGCAGCTGGGCACTTCAGATGGGGGCGGAGGCTTTACTTCTGTCCTCTTCCTCCAGGAGATCAAAGATGCTGGCTCCCAAACCTGACCAGTTCCAGTGAGGGGCCATGGCACTCAGACCCCGCGGGTGGAGACAGAGGATGTCTCCTTCTGCCCCAGATCTAGAAACTCATCACAGCCTAAGGCCCAGGCTCTGTGCCAGTCACCTGGCCAGTGCGGGGTCCGTGGGGCTGAGCTCTGCCTGGAGCCTAGGCAGGGGACAGTCCTCAGCTAGGTGTGGTGGGAGCCAGGCCCTCGTGCCCCACAGGAGTGCAGGTAGGGCAGGCTGGGGTGTTAGGATCAGTTCAGTTTTCCAATAAAGAGACATTTTGGTACTCGTGTGTGTGACCGGGTTTGTGTCTTGGGCTTCCTGGCAGTGTGGGCCTCAGGATCCCGGTGACAGGGGTGAGGCTGTGCCTGTTACTCTCGAGTGGGTCGAGGCGTGGGGATGAGCGATGAGCGCGCGTATGTGGGGGGAGGGGGCAGGTATTGGGTCGCCCCAGCCCCTCCCCCATCGCTCCCCCCAACCCTCCCCGCCAGCGGTCCCCCGCCACCGATCCCCCACCCGCGCTCGTACGTGCGCCTCCGCCGGCAGCTCCTGACTCATCGGGGGCTCCGGGTCACATGCGCCCGCCCGGCCCTATAGGCGCCTCCCCCCGCCCGTCGCTCGGGAGCCGCAGCCGCCGCCGCCGCCACTCCCGCTCTCTCTGCGCCGCAGCCGCCGCCGCCACCTCCACCGTCACCGCCACCGCCTGAGTCTGCAGCCCCGAGGTGAAGCCCCGGCCGGGCCCGGCGCCCCTCCGGCCCCCTCCCCTCGCCGCCGCGCCCCCGCCCCTCGCCCGGCCTCGCGCATCTCTCGCCCCGCGGCGCTGCGCACCTGCTCCGTCACTCGCGCCCGCCTGCCCGGCCTGCCCGGCCTGCCCAGCCGGCTCCCTCTCGCTTTCTGGCCCTCGCCCCCTCCTCATCCGGTGCCAGCCCTCTCCGCACCTGTTTGCCCCTAACTGCGCCTCCCTCCACCCCTGCATGCCTCTCTCCGCATCGTATGCCAGTCTACGCCTCCGGGTCTGTCGATTTGTTTCTTAAGTTCAGATTCTCCCTGGGCTGTGCATTTTTACCCTGGCACGTCCCTTTTGCTTTGCATTTGGGGGAAATGTCTTCTCTCACCCGTCCTCAGCTCCCTCAGACTTCCCTCTCCCGCTCCTTCCCCGCGCCGCCCCTGTCCTTTCACATTTCCTCCTCTCAGCTGCACCCGGGAGGAATGGAACGAGGGGGGATTTGTCTGCGCTCAGGGGAGAGGACCGGCCCAGCCTTGACTGTCCCCACCGGGTCTCTGATCCTCCTCCCTCCCCCTGCAACCCCTAGGGACTGGAGGGCCTTCCCCAGGACCCTCTCCCCAGACCCTTCTTGTACGTCTCTCGGGAAGAGGAGGGACACACGTTTGAGAGAGAGACTGGTACCTTGGAGTCGCGGCAGAGTCCCGGCAGGCTGGGGTGTTAAGTTGGGGAGGGATGGGGGCTCTGGAGAAGAGGCCCCGGCTGCCCAGACAACCCATCCCCTTCTTCCTGGGTTCAAGGAGAAATGCAAGCCTGGCAGCCATTCTGCTCTGAGAAGACCTGGGGGAACCCCACCTGCTGGCCCAGCTGCTGAGGGGCCTGGGAACCTCTGCCGCGCCCCTCCCCTTCTCACTGCGGTGTACTCCCATCTCATCAATTGATCGCACCCGCCCCCTACTGCAGTGACCTCCCCTTCCTCACTGCATTGACCTTCTCTCTCCATGGGGGGAGGGGGAATCCCTTTTACGGCCCAAGACTGCAGCCAGCTCCTCCCCACCCCCCACCCACTGCAGTAACCTCTTTCCCATCCCACCCAGTCTCTGGCCCCTCCCAGTGATCTCAAACTCCGCCCCTCTAAGCCTCTTATCTTTCTTCTTCCTTCCCCTTCCACCGAGGAGATCCCAGCCATCATGTCCATAGAGAAGATCTGGGCCCGGGAGATCCTGGACTCCCGTGGGAATCCCACGGTGGAGGTGGATCTCCATACTGCCAAAGGTAATGGGTGGGGCGTGAGCCTGCCCACAGCCCCCACTTCTCCACCCCCATGCTAGGTTTGGCCTGAGTTGGGAGGCTTTCCTTGAGACCCACTGGGGATGGGGTGCTGGGCCAGGCTCAGAAGCCGGACTGTGGACTGTGGGGGTTGGATCCTCCTTGTCTAGGGGAGCCAGGCCAGGCAGGTCTGTGTTGGAGGTTAGTGTGTGACACATGCCTGTGCACCCGTGTGTGCATAGGGGTGCTATTGGGCACAGCTTCATTTCTGTGGGCTCCCACTGTGCATGTGGGGCCTCAGATAGGTGGATGAGGAGGCCACTACTTGTGCATCTGGCTCAGAGTGTGTGTGTGTGTGTGCAGGGAGAGGGATGGATTTGGCAGGCAAGAGTCCTGGACTGGAAGGCTGAAGGAATCCCTGGCCCCTGCAGTGCCCTTCTCCCTCCCTCCTCATTCCCTGTTCCCCTCCCAGGTCTTTTCCGGGCTGCAGTGCCCAGTGGAGCCTCCACGGGCATCTATGAGGCCCTGGAGCTGAGGGATGGGGACAAACAGCGTTACTTAGGCAAAGGTGAGGCCATTTCTCTTTTCCAGGCTCTCCCACCCCTCATCCTTATACCCCTACCTCTTCTGGCATGCCTTCCCCCTCCTCTCCCTTTCCCTGCCTGCCCCTCCTGGCCTGACCCAGTCCAGCTTCTTCCTCTCCCCAGGTGTCCTGAAGGCAGTGGACCACATCAACACCACCATCGCACCAGCCCTCATCAGCTCAGTGAGGCCTGCTCTTTGCTGGGGATGGCAGGGCTGGAGTCCCGGAAGGAACCCTGGAGCAAGAGAGGAGGGGAGGGAGAAAGGCCACCTTTCAGGAATACGGTTACAGGGGAAGGGTGGGGAAAAGATTCCTTACTGCCCCTTGCTCCCACGGGGGTTCAGGTCCCCTAATCTAGGCAGGCCGCTGTCACAGGGACCTGGGTGGACCCTGGCCATATGTAAGCCAGTATGTGAATGGGGGGACCCTCTGCCTTAGGGCCCAGCCTCTATCCTGGCCCTGCATGATGGAGGCTCTGCCCACAGGGCCTCTCTGTAGTGGAGCAAGAGAAACTGGACAACCTGATGCTGGAGCTGGACGGGACTGAGAACAAATGTAAGCCGGGGCTGGAGGACGTGGGGAGGCACATGGGCAGGGAGCATGGAGCAGTGCTGGGGAGGTCCTCAGGAATGACTGTCGGAGGACTTCTTCTATCCTCCTAAAGCCAGAGCAAGAGGAGCCTGACAACTGCAGTGGGAGGGGGGGACATCAGACAGGAGGAAGAACTTCTCTGTAGCATAAAGAGGAGGGATCTGGCGGAGATAGTCGGGATGTTTAGGAAGAGGTGTGGCTCTCTGCCCTTCCCAGTCCCCTCCTCCCCACCTCATTTTCAGGAGAGAATTGGTGAGGATGGTTGCTGGGGTGGAGAGGCAGGAGGGAATCTCCTTTACTGGCTCCTTTTGGGGACTATAGGTGGAGGCAGGGGCTAGAAGGGAAGGGGACATTTGTGCTCAGTGCCTTCCTCTGTAATCTCCCAGCCAAGTTTGGGGCCAATGCCATCCTGGGTGTGTCTCTGGCCGTGTGTAAGGCTGGGGCAGCTGAGCGGGAATTGCCCCTCTATCGCCACATTGCTCAGCTGGCCGGGAACTCAGACCTCATCCTGCCTGTGCCGGTGAGCACTGCCCACACCATGCCTGTGCCGCTCCCAGGGGTGGGCGGGGGCGGGAGCAACCTTGATAGGAATGATGGGGGGGCAGTGACTTGAGGCGGGTAAAGAGGAAGGATGGAGACATGAGATTCTGAGTCGGGAAGCTGGGGGAAGTTTGGCGTCTTGTGTTCACACTCCCAGGGGCAGGGAGGAATGGGCTCTTTGGCCCTTGTGTCATTCTGTGGCTCCCCAGGCCTTCAACGTGATCAATGGTGGCTCTCATGCTGGGAACAAGCTGGCCATGCAAGAGTTCATGATCCTCCCAGTGGGCGCCGAGAGCTTCCGGGATGCCATGCGACTCGGTGCAGAGGTCTACCACACACTCAAGGGGGTCATCAAGGACAAGTATGGCAAAGATGCCACCAATGTGGGTGATGAAGGTGGCTTTGCCCCCAATATCCTGGAGAACAGTGAAGGTGAGGCCAGGAGCCCCATTACAGCTCTAAGTCTCACTCTATCCTGGGACTTTAAGAAGGGCCACATACTTCACCAAGTCCTGAGTATGGGTGCAGGGTCCTTGAACTCCTACAAACTTTAAGAGGTACCAGCCCTTGGAGTGGCTTTCAGAGGGCCTGCCAAATTCACATGCAGACCTAAGAGGACAGTCTTTCACCTGCCCAGCCACATCTGTTAGCATCTGTAAGTTGTCACGGGGACCCTGGGAATACTAGGAGTTGGTCTAGG